ATGCAAGGCATACTTACTGATTGCCATAATTTGTTATACACCTAACCAATTGTCGTGGACCTAGTCAAGATGTATATTAATCACTATGGCAATCTAATAAATGTTTGTGTATGGACCTTGAGAGTTGTTTCACCGCAGTCCATGTTGCTGGGGGTTTGCAAACCTGAGTCACATACCCCCCACTTCTGAGTGAGTTGTGACAGGAGCGAGAAGGAAGAACAAAAGTGAGAAAACTCTTGGGTTGAAATAGTGAGTTGAAAGAGTCAGGTGAAGGAAGGCAGAGGGGAAGCAAGTGATGCAAAGGCAATCACTTGCCACCTCCCACCAGCAGACCTGTGCCTAACCTCTCCAAGCAATGTCTGCTTTGGAAGTCAGAAACCCTGCCTTTTTCATTCTCTACCCCTGATGTGACATTATATAATATGGACTATCCCTCTTGCCAGTTTGAGTTAGCTGGGCCCCCTCCCAGCTTCTTGCCAACTCCCAGCTTACTTGCTAAGGTGAGAGCAGAGTCCAAAAAAGAAGAAGCCTCGATACTGTGCCAGAAGTGCTCAGCAATAGCAAGTGCACTCAACACTGGTTTAGCCACAAATCCCAAGCGCAGCACCACACAGGCATTATAAAGTTACCTCCAGGTGAGCCAGATCCAGCTGTGGTCTGTGTAAGGGTGGCATTGCCCTCTCCTGGGTGGAGCTGAGGAGCTTCAGCAGATCACACAATTCTTGGTCTGATACATGGAAACACCAGTGTACCTCAAAGAGCTAAGATGTAATTTGTTTTTGTATTTCTGTACAAAAGAGCCTCAGTTCTGCCTTTGGGGAGTCAGACTGGAAAGTGCAGGAAAAAGATCCAAGTATACCTATCTAGTAGCAGGGTTTTACACAGAGTTGCTACACCATTCTTCTCTATGCTGAGAGCGTTTGGAAAATACCTCTTCTGGGGAGGCAAGTGCTCTTTAAGCATTTTGTGCTATAATTCTTGGGGTGGTTATATAGGTGCATAACTGTTAATTTAGGCTAGTATAGGAATGATGGTAAATAACACCCTTAGTAAAAGTTGTTCGTAAATTTTGAAGTTCTAAAAGCCTCAGTGTTGTGAGCTGAACACAGAATGAATACAATGAGAGCCAACAGTGAACAATTACCTGCTTTATCTTAGTGTGTTAATAGCTTTTGCTTTTAAAATTGTTCTCGGGATCATGCTTCTGTCCTAGTGTGGCAGCAGCAGCAGGAGGCAGGGTCTTCTCAGTTCAGGTGTTAGACTTTCAGGCTGCAAAATAGCCTCCACAAAATTAGCAGGGCAGGCTACCTGTAAGAGACTGCTGCTTGGATATATGTTTGCTCTTTGGAAATGTTTCCCACTAGAGGGTATCGTGGGACAGGAGTCAGAAGTTGCTAAAAGCAGGAGGGGAAGGTTCTGATTTATCTTGGTCATGTGTATACTAGAAAGTGGTAATTACCTCTAGTGTGGCTTGCCAAGGTATTACAAAGCTGCTGGAGACAAGGTTGGGAATGATTGTTTTCCGCATCCGACTTCTCGGCACAGATAGCTCTTCCTGCCTTCCAGGGATTGTTTAAGTTGGTTTTAACATTTTCTGATACTAAGGCTCTCGGGCAAGTACTGAGGCACAGTTCAAAGCATTTGCAATTACTATAGCTGCATTAATAGCAAGAAAACATAACCAAAGGAATCGTGGGGAGAGGTTGGTCTTTCTGTGTGGAGGACACAAGGCTCGAGACTTGCCAGAAATTTGTTGAGGGCTCCTCTGTGTGGCAGCTGCCTCCTCCTGTCACTAGGAGGCACTGCAAAGCCAGTGTAGGAAGAGTCATGATCTGAATTACTCTTCCTCTCCCTGCATCAAAAAATAGAAAAGTAGGAGGATTGATGACATTTGGTTTTGGAGAAGGAACTTGAAATCTTTTATCCTTGCTGTCAGTAGAAATCCAGGATGTGGGAATTTGCTGGCCTGGGAAAGAGGATGGAACTACTTACCCTTCCTCTCTCTACCCACCTGAGATCTGGAAGCAAGACACAGTCTACTAAATCTGTCTTTTACAGTGATAAGCATCTTTTAATTGCACAAATTTTGAAGCTTCATCCCTTTCTTCTGTGTTTTGAATGGGAAGAGCTTCCCAAACTGCAAAGATTTGACTGGAGGAACATTTCTCTCCTTCGTTGTAGTTCTCAGTGCTGTGAACACATAAGTAGAGGAGTCCCTAATGCCTCCTTCAGTAGGGATCTTGCTGAATTTCCCCAGGTGAAGGGAAAATCTTTTTGATAATGCAGATGAAGAGAACAGGAAGTTCTCACTGCCTGTCTTCTTGATAGAGTCAAAGGAGAAAAGTTAAGTCTACACATATACATGTTTCTATGTGTATATATATATGACTGTGTGGATATATAATAGCACCTGGTTTTCCTTGCGCATGTGAGGTGTTTGGTTTGAAAATAGAAACAGGATCTCAAAATTGTTCTGCATTCTGAGAGAATACTACTAGAAAATAAATCTGCAATTTCATGATGTAGCGTGAGCAAAAGTAAGGTGCTGTTGTGGCTTTTCCAGCATGTTTGAAAGACTCAGGGCAAGAATTCCACCACAGCTTGTTGAGGATGGTGTGGTCTCTGCAGGCTGTCGATGTTGATTCACTGTAGTTGGAAGCTCTGCAGCGTGGGGAGAGCTGCACAAACTGTCACGCTGCTGTTGCAACCACAGGCAGTACAACAATATGAATTGTTCTTACTGAGTTCTGTTTTGTAAGCAGAGCAGTTCTGGACAGCAAGACTCTACTTTACTTGCGTAACTCAGTGCAGGTTACCTGAGAATATCAGTCTGTTCACCAGTATTACTAGATCACATTCTGTCAAGAGGCAAGACTAAAACTGAGGCTTACTGTTGCTAAAGACAAGTTGAAAAAGTGAAGAAAGTATCTGGTAAGCTGTTGTTCAGATGGACTAGCTGCTTGAATTCAAGTTGCGTGTGCCTTGAGAGGCATATAGCTGCATGATGATCATGATGTAATAATGAACTAAACCTGCAAAAAATAAGGTCTGATTCTGTCACCTCATATTAGATCTCTCAATTAGACATGATTGAGAGTTGGTAATAAGGTATATGCAGGCCTTAAAAGAAGAGCAGCAGAGTGAATATGAATTGCTTTATTAGTATATTAAATAGTCTCTAAGTATTATTTAGGTAAAGAAGTCATGTAGGCTGATGCTGAAGATCTTGCAAAATTTTATGTTGCGAGTGCTTGAGATGCATAGTGCAGTATTTAGGCTTAATGGGCAATGCTAGTTCGTTCTTGAATGTTTTGGTAAGCTGGGAGACTGCAAAGTGCTTAGTGTTTACTAGGTATCCAGATAAGTATCAGCTTTGAAATTCTGTGCATCTTCTCTGTTGTGGAAGTGAGTTGGAAGTCATGCAAGCTGGCAAACAGCCTACGCTTCAATTATTGATCTCTTCAGATTTTTGTGTTGCCAAGTGGAGTCAGTTCTGCTTAATGTTCATATTTTGCTCATTATTTTTAGAGTAAAGTGGCTCATTTCTATTTGGAGTGGGCTTCAAACTTAAGTTATCATGACTTATGGTTGCTGTATAATCACATGATCAGGGCAGCATCGATCATGCGCTGAAATGATAGTACCCCACATCGCAAACTGGTATACATATGTGGTGTGTATCGTTGGGGCTGGCTGTGCATCACGTCATGTGACCAATTATATACAGGTCCTCTTTCTTCCTTCCTCTCCCATCACCTAATGGGCCTGCTGTAGTCATGGTGTATTCCTGTCGCGTACCAGTTAGGTGCCTTAAGATAAGGTATGTCTCTTGCCTTCAAGACTTTAGAAACCAAGACACGGAACAATGTTAGAGTTCGATGGGTTTTGGCAGGCAGGGTTGAAAAGCATTTTATAGGTAGTAGTTTTATGTTATTCACTATGTGAAGAATAAATAATGGGGTCAAATACTACTCATTCTTCTTCAAACTCTAGAGATCCAGAAGTTTGATCTGTTTTCTTAGGCTATAATAAGAACCTTTAGTTACATCCAGCTTCACTGATTTCCATATACTGTGGCTGACTGCTTTGATCTGGAGCTCTGCAGAAGCCATTAATAAATAGTAAAACTAGCTTGTCTAATCCAAGGTTCTGTTTATTTTATGTGAACTGTTTAATTATGCTTAAGGTAATAAGTTGCTATCTAATATCCCTTAATCAAAGGAGTTCAAATGTGTTGTGTATGAAAGAATACCACTTAGATATAAGTAAAGTCTTCTACCTTTTAAGGATGTTATCTGTGAAAACTGTCTGTACAGCGTGTGCCAGAGTACCTCTGACTTGATTCAGAGCTGTTTGAAAGGCTTTGTCCATATAAGCCTTTCACTTTTCTTTCATCTTCTCTTTTAAATGCTGAACTTTGAACAGAACTTAGTGCAATTGCACTGTATATATGGCTGTATGCTTTTTTTTTCCTTTCTAGGAAATATTTATTTCTACTTGATAGCAACCCTGTGATAACGAAATATCATGCGTACAGTGAAATGCATATGAAGAAAATAGTATAATGTGTGTAATTTTAAGTGTATAAAGAGCACCTGAAAAACTAAAAACCCAAGTAAATGACTGCTGGGGGATCATGTTTATTATGGGTGACTCCCCATAATATATCTGGTAGGTGGGTGATAACGGACATGTATGTGTTTGATCAGTACTGAGGTGTAACTGAAGGAATGATATAGCATCATATTCAACATGCATTAGTGTAGTTGACTGATATCTGATCCCAGTCTCTGTGAACAAAGAATGTAGATAATACAGCAGGAGAAATAAAGAATATCCTCAAGAGATGTTTGACATATTGCGGAATAACCCCCTATATTCCCTAATCAAAGCAGTGAAAACAAGATTTTGGGTTCCCAGTGATGTTGTTACTATGCATGCAGCTGGTGTGAACTGTGACTTTCAGCTGAGACTAACTTTGCTGTTTCCATAAATTTCAGAAAAATATGCCGCAACTGTAAATGTGGCCAGGAAGAGCATGATGTGCTCACAAGCAACGAGGAAGATCGGAAAGTGGGGAAACTCTTTGAAGATACAAAATACACGACCCTTATTGCAAAGCTGAAGAATGATGGCATTCCCATGTATAAACGCAATGTAATGATACTGACTAATCCAGTGCCAGCCAAGAAGAACATATCCATCAATACTGTGACTTATGAGTGGGCTCCTCCTGTTCAGAATCAGACACTTGTAAGTCCAACTCGCTTTTTTCTTCATGTTCAAGACAGGATTGATGGGAGATAGAGAAGTAGAGCTTACCGGAAGAATAAATTTGCCTCTTGTAGTCGTCTTTTCTTCTTCCTCAAAACTGAAAATGTGGTGTCTGTTTAATGAGTCTTGCCTCTATCATCTTGCAGATATGGATGCTTGTCTATGGAACTTCTTGAGAACTGTGGAGATGAGGTGGCTTTTAATAGATAGGATTAAGTGTTATCTGCTAAGTCCCTGGAGTTCAGTTTCTCTAACCTGCCTTTTTTTTTAGTAAACTTGAAAAATTTGCATGGAGTGTGAGCTTAAGAGGAAGAAAAAAAAAAAACCCACAACAAAAAAAAAAAAACCAAACCACAAAACACCACAACCCAAAACAAAACAACCCCACAACAATGTATGTCATTGTCTAAAGTTACAGGGAACACTCAGTCTTGGATATAGCTTTTACTGTATATGGCAAGAACAAGGTCAGTGTTGACATCAGAAGAGCAACTCTCTTCCAGTATGTTTTCAGCTGAAGTAGATGAGATGGTAGATAGCCTTCTGAGGATTTTGCTTCATTCTTCAAACTTTGATTGCTAATTTACTGTACTGCAGTGTTGTGTGATCCATGCTGGAACCATATTATCTTGACCTACCTCTCAAAATATATTTTTTTCAGTGAATTAATCAAACCATGTGCATCTAAATCGACTGTTACTTAACATTCAGTTACCACTTTGATTTTTAGGGTTGTCCTTCCTTTATTAAAGCTAGAGCTTTTTATTTAGCTAGAATTATTTTTGCAATGGGCTATGTGCCCCAGGCAGACTGTTTCAGCTTATACTTTTTAAAGCTATACTGGTGATCGGTGGTTTTAGATAGCTTTGAAGAGACAAAGTGCTGTGCAAATGTTGGTATTTATTCTGAGAAATACTAACACTATTCTGCATGTTGTAAAAGGCTTAAAAGGAAGCCTGTCTCTTACTCTGGGAAGAAGCATATTAATGCATCTGCTGTATTTTATCTCCATCTACTGTGTTTCAGGAGCTTAATGTTTATGGAAAGAACCTTGGTTTTGACAAATTTGACTGTCGCTAACAACAGTAGAGATGATTTTAGTCGTGTGTTTGCTTGAAAGGTTGGGTCTATAGTTGAAGTGGCATCTGATATCTATTTTCTCCTGGTTCAGGCTAGACAGTATATGCAGATGCTACCAAAGGAGAAGCAGCCTGTTGCTGGCTCAGAAGGCGCACAGTACAGGAAGAAGCAGTTGGCTAAGCAGCTGCCTGCTCACGATCAGGATCCTTCCAAATGCCATGAGCTCTCCCCCAATGAAGTTAAGCAGATGGAACAATTTGTGAAGAAGTACAAAAATGAGGCACTTGGCGTAGGAGATGTCAAGCTCCCTGGTGAGGTGGAAACAAGAGCTACTGACAAGAATAACTTGAACAATGGTGACAGAGGCACCTCAGCTGCTGTAGGAGCGATGGAGGACAAGTCCCCAGATCAGAAGGCATCTCAGTATGTAAGTATAAGAAAGGAAAGATAAAACAAGAAGGTATATTGCCATCAGAGTGCTCACTTTAGCCATTTTAACCCAATTAACTTGTTTATTAACTTGGAATATTGAAAATCTGGGGAGGGAAAGATAGAAGGGGAAGTGGAAAACGTTGTGAATGCCTGTACAGAACGCTGATTTCTGACTGTATTTAGTGCATTGCAGCAAATAACTTCCTAGGTGACCTATTCATCCTCGTTGTGAAAATGTGTTAGCTTGGAGAAATAGATATAGCAGGGTGGCTTTTGCAGAATAATAAACTTGTGTAATCTTACGGACTAATTGCTACACTCTTCTTCTCTTGAACAGTTTAGTTTAATTTTAGAAGCCTGTTTTCTCCTCTTTCTTGGAAGAGCACCAGAATTACCCACTTGACAAATTGTGTTTAAAATTAAATGGAACTAAGAAATAATAAAGTAACACCTCTTCCTCCCATGTCCAATAAGCCAAGCCGTATAACAGCTGTTTTGACTAGCCTTCTTTTCGTATTCAGATCTATTTCTTTTTTTGATCTATTTTTTTTCTTTGGCATCTGATTTCTGCCTTGTAATTGCTCAACCAAAAATAAGGTATATGAAATTACGTAGTTTTTATTGATATTTCTAAAACTATAGCCTTAGTAAAGTATTTCTGACATTACTTGGTAACTTCTGCTGTGCATGTCTCTGCTACCATTTATGAATACAAAATAGGGGTAGGATTACTGAAGTAAGTTAGTTTAGTGAAGGTAGACCTTCACTTCAGAGTGGCAAAAGCTTCTGATTTCCAGAACTGTTGCTATTATATTTATGAATCCCAAAAATTATTTGTCTCCAGGTTGCTTACAGAAAATTGATATACAAGTTCTAGATGGAGATAAAAGTTTGTTTGTTTGTTTGTTAGCATGGTTGTAGAATATGGCTTTCAGTGTTATTTGAGGGTGTGGTGTGTGTTATTTCATGTGCGTTTTTGTGGTTTCTGGTGTAATTCATATGGAATATAAAATTAACACTTAAGTTTTAGCTTTGAACATGCTTGCTTACCTTGATCAGTCAGATGTGGTGCCATTTGATTACCTGTAGCTGCTTTCTAAAACTAATTATTCAGTTATTTTTGCCATTGTCTTGTAATGGAGATTCTAAGATACTGAAAAGTTATTTTATCATGGCTAGATTAGGTTGCTGTCATTTTGTCTTAACTCAGCCTCCCCTGCTGGGTTACTTTAGTTTCACCACAGCAATTCTTTACTTACCTCTTTGAGAAATGCCTACAGAAACACACACCTGGCATTGTACCCTGCTGGCTAACCTCCTGGACTACTTTAAGTCGAGGGCAGGAAGGATTCTATCCTCTTGAGTAATTGTATCAAAAGGTGCTTTGTTTTTAAGTTACACCTATTGATCACTTCCAAACTTTTCTTACTTCAGCATCTGAGTATGCCTCCTACTGTTTAGGCCAGGCATATCTCCTCACTGTGGGCAATGATTTAGAAGATGCTTAGAAGTGTTTAATAGTGTAAGTAAACATTTGAGTTGCTTATCTGTTGTTAGCTACTGAATCTACCCTGGGCTAAATAATCAGGATTTAGGTATAGTATTTTCAAGTATTTTTTTGGTCTGATTTCTGCAATGTGACTTAGTCTATACTGTAGCATTATCTCAACTTTTTTTTTTTTTAACAATTCAAAATAAACAAACAGAGAGAAGAGCTGTTAAATACCTTGCAGAAGAATTGCCATCCTTGTCTACACTTTTTCCTATCCCTTTGTTTGGCACCTTTGCTCTCCAAATTTTCTTGTGCGTTGTCTTTCAGACTGAGTCTGAAAGCATGTATTCCTGTAGCTGTGGTAAATAGAATATCTTGAAAAATTATTTTTTTTTAATAGGAATGGATTACAATTCTTCTAAAAAAAACCAACAACAACAAAAAAAAACAAAACAAAAAAAAAACCAACCCACCAACAACAACAACAACAAAAAAAAACCAAAAAAACCCCAAACCATCAGCAAAACACAAACAACCAAACAACCAGGTCTCAACTATTAATGTAAATATACTTATAATAATTTTCTCTATTAAAAAAAAAAATCTGTTTCACCATGACTGAAAGCTGAATAACAGGAAAATGGATATTCAACATACTTTCATCTTGTAAAGAGACAGATCTCTTTATGCACATTTTAACCACTTAGGCTGGGGATGTTAAATGGTAGGTAAATGAATCACCTTGCCCTCATCTGGGTCCATAAAACTACTAAACCTTCCAAGTAACTCCTCTTGGAGTATGAGATCTAAAGTAGAAAGAAGAGTCAAAAAGCTCTATATGCATATATATTTACACTTCCCCTTTCATTAGTTCCCCTTTCATTCTGTTCCAAGCTGTTCTTCCTCCCCTTTTGATGTCTTTGTATGTATATTTTGAAACTGCTTGTCTGAAACAAGTGTGGGAATCTGATCAATATGCCTTACAGCCAAGACACTTTATTTTATTTTTATGTATGCACACACGCAATTAAAGAAGCCGTTTGTGGCAGGGCTTGTAGTGATGTGAATCAGAGAAAACCTTCCCAGGATGTTCAATCCAGTCCAGACTAACTGGAGTGCAGGAAATGCCGAACTGCTGATTAAACTGTAGATAAAAATTTTTGGTTTGGTAACATAAACCACCTGTGTTTCTTGACTTGATGACGAAACCCTCTCTGTAAGCAGGTGTAGGGCAGAAGACTGACTATGACCTTTTTGGAACTATTTGTAATGTAGCTGTGTTTGTATACTTTGTAGTCCCTTTTCCATAATCACTCTCCTCATCCTAAGATCGTTAATCATACACTACTGGACAACAGCCATGAGTGACTAGTATCCGTAGAACACAGATTAAAACAGAATGAGTTTGAAATATTCACTAATTTTTTTTTTTCTTAGCAAATGGCTTGATCTTCTCACAACCTATGCATACAACCATTTTCTTGTCATGTGTTCTGGTCATATTCTAGTTGGTCAGCTTTGGCAGAGGCCCCTTATTATTCGCTCCTTATTCTTGAGTATGTAAGGCTTACAGAACATAATACAAATTTTAATTTCCTGTTGTTTTTTTTAAGAACTGGGCTGTAGTAGCAAGAATGTGAATATGGCAAAATACAATAATCCATTTCAGTGCTATGTCAGTAGAATGTGCATCATCTTGAATTGCTTAGTTAAACCTGTGCTGTGGCATCATGTCACACTACCATCTGATCATGGGAGTAAACTAATGGTTTAATTTCAGTCTGGACAGGTGGGATTTATTAAGTATGTAAGTAATATGGAATTGCTATAAATGTACCTCTTCAAAGACTTATTTAACTTTTGATAACCACTTCCCAGTCCTGCTATCGCTGCAAACTGAACATGAAAGAAGGTGACCCAGCTGTCTACGCAGAACGTGCTGGTTATGACAAATTGTGGCACCCAGCTTGTTTTGTCTGTTGCACCTGCGGTGAACTTCTAGTAGATATGATCTATTTCTGGAAGAATGGTAACCTGTACTGTGGAAGACATTATTGCGATAGTGAAAAACCCCGCTGTGCTGGATGTGATGAGGTAGGAAGTATCCTAGTCCTTTGGTTTAGCACACAAGTTTGCTCCCCTGGGAAGTGAATATGATTTTTAGTAAAATATTTCGGTCCAGGGAGATGATGTGCCTTCACCAGTTTTAGCTGATCGTAGTTGCAAGGAACTGAAGCTGATATGGATGCTCCGCATGCAGGAAGATCCATAGTTTGCTTTGGATTTGGTGGGGATTTTGTGCGGTCTACAGGGACATAGGTAATACCTGAGTGCAAATTCTTCTACGACGTCCTAGTTACGCATTGTTTCCTCTGGAAGGACACTAGGGGGAGCGCCTTACTAAATTACACCTTGTGCAGCATACCGAGAACAGCCTGTCTGGTGTCTTTGGCATTTTTTGGCTCTTAATAAACAAAATGGAGGCTTTGGGGAAACAGTCAAACAAGTGAATGCCTTCGTTTTTGATGTGAAATTACTTGAAACGGTGTAATCACCAGGAGTTCCTTGGAAATTACAAAACATCCTGAGGCTAGTTTTATTACAAGAAATACTATTCAAATGCATCATATATTAATATTTGTTTGTATCTTCCTCATAGCTCATATTCAGCAATGAATATACTCAGGCGGAAGGTCAAAACTGGCATCTGAAACACTTCTGCTGTTTTGACTGTGATTGTATTTTGGCTGGGGAAATCTATGTAATGGTGAATGACAAGCCAGTCTGCAAGCCGTGCTACGTGAAGAACCATGCTGCGGTAAGATACTTACAGACGTGTTGGTGCTCTGAAGGAAGGGAATGTACATCTATGAAACCTGAAACTCTTACTTTCTCCCAGTGTGGGAGTGTCTGAAGAGTATAATTAAATACAAGTTTAGGCTCAAGTCAATCATCTTTTTCTCCTTTGGAAAAAAAAAACCAATACCCAGACCTTAAAAGCAGACAAGTATTTTGTCAATGCATAAACTTGAACAAAAAGCCACTGGGGGGAAGCTGTTCTGAAAATACTTTTAACTTTGACAGTGGCAAAGCAGGATTTTGTAACAGGAGGAGTAAAGTAGGTGAAGATGAGAAGTACTGCTAAACGTTTAGTTCATGTCAATAATAGTTCATTGTAACCAGTGGGATTCAACTTCAGCTGGTCTGCTAAAAGCCTGTAGTGGCAACTGCAGTCCTAGGTATTTTGTTTCTTTATTTCTAACCACATGAGTTATAAAGGAGAGTGACTGAGAGGATAAAGCTAGAAGTTCGTGTGGTGGGTTGACCCTGGCTGGATGCCAGGTACCCACCAAAGCTGCTCTATCACTCCCCTCCTCAGCTGGACAGGGGAGACAAAATATAACGAAGGGCTTATGGGTTGAGATAAGGACAGGGAGAGATCACTCACCAATTACTGTCACAGGTAAAACAGACTTGACTTGGGGAAGTTAAAGTTATAACCAATCAAATCAGAGAAGGTTAATAAGAAATAAAACCAAATCTTAAAACCACCTTCCCTCACACACCTCCCTACTTCCTGGGCTTAATTTCTCTACCTCCTCCGCCCAAGCAGCGCAGAGGGACAGGGAATGGGGGTTGCAGTCACTTCATCAGACGTTGTCTCTGCTGCTCCTACCTCCTCGGGGGGAGGACTCCTCACACTCTTCCCCTGCTCCGGCGTGGTGTCCCTCCCACAACACACAGTCCTCCATGAACTTCTCCAACATGAGTCCTTCCTGTGGACTGCAGCTCTTCACGAACTGCTCCAGCATGGGACCCTTCCACAGGGTGCAGTCCTTCAGGAACAGACTGCTCTAGCATGGGTCCCCCATGGGGTCACAAGTCCTGCCAGCAAACCTGCTTCAGCACGGGCTCCTCTCTGTCCACGGGTCCACAGGTCCTGCCAGGAGCCTGCTCCAGCACGGGCTTCCCACAGGGTCACAATCCCCCTTCAGGCATCCACCTGCTCCAGTGTAGGGTCCTCCATGGGCTGCAGGGTGCAGGCAGACATCTACTCCACTGTGGACCTCCATGGGCTGCAGGAGGACAGCCTGCCTCACCATGGTCTTCACCATGGGCTGCAGGGGAATTGCTGCTCTGATGCCTGGAGCACCTCCTCCCCCTCCTTCATCATGGACCTTGGTGTCTGCAGAATGGTTTTTCTCACATATTCTCACTCTTCTCTCTGGCTACAGTTGCTCCTGTGCAATAACTTTTACCTTTCTTAAATGCATTATCCCAGAGGCGTTACCACCATCGCTTATGGGCTCGACCTTGGCCAGTTTCAGATCTGTGTTGGAGCCTACTGGCCTTGGCTCTGTTGAACATAGGGGAAGCTTCTAGCAGCTTCTCAGAGAAGCCATCCCTGTAGCCCCCCCAGCTAGCAAAACCTTACCATGCAAACAGTTTGGGAAAGGGTGGTAGTGTTTGATTCCTAGTTATGCTAGGAACTCTAATCTGAGATGATGGTCACAGAATGGTGGGAGATCATCTAGTCAAATCCCCTCTGCTAAAGCAGATTTACCTACAGCAGGTTGGTCCATTCATATCTACCAATTAAGTAGCTATTAGATGGGAGTTCAGTCTAATGTGCATCTAGACTGTTTATGTAGTTAATGGAGAGAAAAACTATTATCTCTAGCCGGCAGTTAATAATCTTCTGAGGTAGGTGTGAGCAATTCTTTTTTGGAGAGGTGGGGTTTTTTTTTCTTAAACCATTAACTTCCTTGAGATCTTAAAGATACTTTTTGACAAGCAGATTTAAGATTAATTACATCCAAGACTTTCTAGTAACCTTTAATTTTTGGGTTTATGCCTGCCAACACATGGAAAGATTTGTAACTAATCTCTTCAAACGTATGGATTAATATATGAAGAACTGTGCTGTTTGGCAGTTTTTTCCTTTATTTGGGCCTTGGGAAATCCTAACCATTATAACTGTCTAAAGTTCAGTCCCAGCAGCATCTAACATCTTGTCTGCATTTTATTATTTTGTTTTGCGTCCTCAGCTACATTCTAATTAGACACTCTGCTTTAAAAACAAAGGAGAATCAAGAGCTGGAGACTTACTTCAAAGGCTTCTTTTAACACCTGTCTCTCTTCTCCAAAAACACTTAAGAATTCCAGCTTTTATTGGACTTGTAGAGAGGAGGATGTATATGCTTCATTTAAGTGTTGTTTTGTTTCTAAGCAGATCTGCCAAGGCTGTCATAACGCTATAGATCCAGAAGTTCAGCGTGTGACGTACAACAGCTTCAACTGGCATGCTACGCAGGAATGAAAAAATGTTCCTGTTGCAGCAAGTGTCTAATTGGCCAGAAGTTCATGCCGGTGGAAGGAATGGTCTTTTGCTCAGTGGAATGTAAGAAAAAGATGATGTCTTAAGAGAAGATGTGCACAGAACCAAGCATTGCTGCGTTCCAAAGGCTCTTGCATTTCTACTGTAAAATATATAATATTGGGGCGTTTAAAGTTATTGGAAGTATTAAGTAGCATTTTCCCAAAGATTTTTTTTTTTAATTACTAAAACTTGCTATGTAATCTTCATTTCTTAGCCATAATAATACTTTCTTTCTTTGGAATATTATTGCTGAGTCTTATGTCAAATGACTTTATATCCCAGAAATGTAAGAAAAAATGTGTTATGAACTATGTACACTTTAAGGGAGCTCTTTGCCATGAAGGATCTTTTTACTGTATCTTGTCTAATGGAAGAAGAAAATGCAAAAATGCTCCAATTTCTGTTATTTTGTATGATAAGTTTAACTCTTCCACTTTTGGTTTCACTAAGTTATCATTTTTATAGTTTCCCTGCTTTCATCAAGCACTTTAGACAAAATGATCAGCTTTACCGCCACATAGTTTTGTTCACTAGACCTCATGTATGCAGGGAGAGCAAAGCTTAAAAAAAAAAAGTTGCCTATAACCGTTTGCTTGTTGTTGACACATGGGTTCTTGAGGGACAGTGACTACTCTCACATCTAGTTTGTAAAGTAGCTGCACCAGTAGGCTCACGTTTCTGTTTCTGACAATGGTTCATGGCTGGAGAAGTTTTCATTTTATGAATATTGAAGTCTTGAGGTGGGGGGGGGGGGGGGGCTAGAAAATATAAAAGGAGGTCTTGTCCAGATTTAAAAAACAACAAAAAAAAAACCCACCTACATTGGTGGGTGTCACGCTTACCCTTTCAGAAATGACTTCTGTTTTTTCATGAATGTTCTTTTCCTAAATTGTGCCTTCTATCGGAGGGATGTGGCACACAGTACTGTATGCATTTCCAAGAATGTAGTTCTGCAAAAGGATCATACTTAAGCTTTTGATTTGTAAGTTCTAAACCAAAGCACAAAGAAGTCTTTCCCGGAAGACTTCCAGTATTTGAAAAAAATCACAGCTGTGTATTAGCTTTGCTTACTAGGTAAACCAAATGTGTGGTTCTCTTTCTTTTTCTTAAGAATTACAGATCTACAGTGAAAAATGTTAGCTGTCTTTGTGCTGAACAGTGAATGGAGAGGCTTTGGCCTAGAAAATAAATAAAATAATTTAAAAAAAAAAAAACAACTATGCAAGTCTTATGTTCAGCTCTTTTTTAAGTTTTATGGTAGCTGTATTGTAACACAAATAAAAATTAGTGTTGTTCACTTGAGTTGTCTATTCTAATTCTGTTCTTGTTGAATCCCCTTTAGGGTAGGCAAAGAGAAGGGGAAATGTTTCCATACTTCTTTTTAGCTTTGACATAATTTCTAAAAATCCTGAAGGCCTGTATTACTGTAGAGTGCTTACTGACTTGTGTAATATCGTTGATGTGCTTATAGGCCCAAGGCAATGGGTCTTGTTCCAACAAATACACAACTTCAGAATTTAGTGTGAATTTACTTTTTGTTCATGTAAACTGTGGCCTTAATTATGTTTTAAGACATAGCGTGGGGAGTTCTGAATTCACACAGGTGAACTAAAGTTCTGAGAAAATAAAGTGCATTGTGATCCTTTGAGTACTGCAAAAATAAGACACTAGTGTGAGAGACATACTTTATACGGTGTCTAAACTGAGATGGAAACTTTAGGTCCATGTTCTGGAAGCCTGTACAGCTTTTCTCAGGGATCCTGAGATGCACAAAAAAGTGTATGTCTTTGAGCTCATACCAATGGGACTGTATTCTTGCCAGATTTGCATTTTTAAACAAAGGAAAACCAGGATGCCTCAATAATGGAAGGTATTTCCATTTTTCTATGTGAGTGCTCCTTCATCTGTCGCAGGACGCACTCTGAGAATGCCATTCAGGGGATGGGATAAGGTCTTATTTAATGATTATCTATAAGGATAGCTTCTATTATATATATTGTATTTATATCAGACACTATTAAGTCTGAGTTTTACTTGTCTTGAGTGCATCTGTCCTCACCCACTTACTAGCCTTTCTTCTAGAAGATGCAGCTGATCTTTATAAATTGCTCTTTGTGAAAAGCTGTTGTGCAACTTTCCCTGCCCCTCCCTTGCCACCGCACGTTAACAGCTCTGTTTCTCCCTGATGAGATCGCTTGCACTGATGGGAGTCTTTTCACTTTAAATCTTGTTCTGTGCAGTTTTGTTTATTAAACTTTATTATTGTGTAGCCTTCATTAAAGAATGAGCAGTCACTACCTCAGGACTTACTCATTCCATTAAGACAGAATTGCTAAGGAAATTAATGTTAAACCAAACATCTCAATAGTCTGTCATCTGGAACTGGCTTGTTCTGTGCCTCTTCTGAAGCATGCTGGCTTGCTGTCTTCAGCCGGCTCTCTTGAGAATCTTCCCTTGCCTGCTTGATCCCTTCTGGCTTTCTTCCCTGGAACCCGGCGCACCTAGGTGTTTCTGCTGTGGGGTAGCCAAAGTTGAATCTATGTCCATGCAGTAACTGAAAAGGATCATGCCATAGGAAGGTCAAGTGTAATGTGCAGATGATACAGAGGGGAGACAAAAATACTGCTGTGTGAGTACACAATAGATCATGAGATGATTAGGAGCGCTAAACAGTTCTTGTAATGAGCTAGGAAGGCATTTATGTTCTTGAAGATAATGCTTTTTGTGTTAGCTGAAAGATATGTCAACATACTGGAGCCTGAAAACAAGAATTAAGGAGATTTTGTTCTGTCACTGCCATAATAAAAATATTGGCAGTTAAGTGTTGGGAGTTTTTTCCTCTTGTATTTTTTGGCTATTTTATCATGGAGGTCCCTTTGGATCTGTTTATCTAAGCTAAGAATAGAAGCTGGAAGATTTTGCATACTTCAGTAATAAAAGCACATACTGTGCAGATGAAATTTTGAACTTGAAGTATGAAAGGTGAAGTTCTGTTCTTAAGAGTAGAACTTCATTGCTAAGAAAATCTGATAAGCACTTGCTATAACAACATTCTCTTCTTTTCAGAAATAGTTAATTGGCTGCAAGAGACAACCTGAAGAGGCCCTTAGCCAGCTCTGTCATGCCACTGCCAGAGTGACATACTTGATTTTAACTCTCCATACGTTAAGCACCAAATGAAGACAGATTCACAGCAAAAGACAAGTTTGGTCTTGTCACTATCAGCATATGTGAGAAGGAAAAGCCCAAATTTACCTTTAGGATGTAACTTTCTGCCTCTCTTAGCTTTATGTTCTGTGTTGCATTTTATATGGCTACTGTGACAATGCAGGTTGTTACGTCAAAGTTCTGAGTTTTTTAGAGTAGTGTTTTTACCAACCAGCTGTGAAGAACCAGTCGGGTTATACAGTGGAACAATTTAACAACAGGGGATAAACAAGGGATGTGCAGCTGAGGGCATCAAAGAGACCATCCTGTCACTGACCTCAGCAGGACACGTGGGAACTTGGGTTTTCTTTTCCATATGGCAGTAGCAGTCAGCCTTTTCAAAGAACCTCTAAAATTACCAGGCTTTTGTCCACTTATGCTTCTAACACTCCCAGAAATTTTGAAATTTGCCTGGTGCCCAAAAATTTCAGACAAGCTGCAACGCTGTTGAGATTATTGGCAAATCCTACTTCACTTAACCTGTTGATAACCTTGGCTGGAGCACCTAGGTATTACCTGTTGGTTGCTGCAGAGCTCAGGTGCCCAGGAGGCCCATTGTACAAGCATTGCAACACAGCCTCTTCCATGCACTGAGAGCAAAGAAGGTCTGTGGCACTCTGAGCGTGTGTAACTCCTGCTGCTTTTCAGGAGATACGGATGTTTGTACACTGACAGGCTTTTAGCACACTTTTGGAGGACAGCTTAGCATACAGACACAGTTGGATTTGGATTTCGTGAGACCACTGCTACCATTACATAGTCAGAATCCAGTATTGCCTTTTAGGTAATTGGGTAGTAAGGTGGATTGTGAATTGGTTGAAAGAAAGAAGTCAGAAAGTTGCGGTCAACGGGACAGAGTCTCGTTGGAGGCCTGTATCTAGTGGAGTCCCTCAGGGGTCAGTACTGGGACCAGTACTATTCAATATATTCATCAATGACCTGGATGAGGGAACAGAGTGCACTGTCAGCAAGTTTGCTGATGACACGAAACTGGGAGGGGTGGCTGACACACCAGAAGGCTGTGCTGCCATTCAGAGAGAACTGGACAGGCTGGAGAGCTGGGCGAGGAGAAATGTAATGAAATACAACAAGGGCAAGTGTAGAGTCTTGCATCTGGGAAAATACAATCCCATGTACCATTTGGGGTTGGGGACTGAGCTGTTAGAGAGTAGTGTAGGGGAAGGGGACCTGGGGGTCCTGGTGGACAGCAGGATGACCATGAGCCAGCAAGGTGCCCTCGTGGCCAAGAAGGCCAATGGCCTCCTGGGGTGTATTGGAAGGAGTATGGCCAGTAGGTCGAGAGAGGTTCTCCTCCCCCTCTACTCTGCCCTGGTGAGACCCCATCTGGAATATTGTGTCCCATTCTGGGCCCCTCAGTTCAGGAAGGACAGGGAACTGCTTGAAATAGTCCAGTGCAGAGCCACAGAGATGATTAAGGGAGTGGAGCATCTCCCTTCTGATGAAAGGCTGAGGGAGCTGGGTCTCTTTAGCTTGGAGTAGAGGAGACCGAGGGGTGACCTCATCAATGTTTATAAATATGTAAAGGCGTGTGTCAGGAGGATGGAGCCAGGCTCTTCTCGGTGATGGCCAGTGACAGAACAAGGGGCAATGGGGGCAAGCTGGACTACCACATTAACATAAGGAAAAACTTTTTCACTGTGAGGGTGACAGAGCACTGGAACAGGCTGCCCAGAGAGGTTGTGGAGTCTCCTTCTCTGGAGACATTCAAAACCCGCCTGGACGCGTTCCTGTGTGATCTACTCGAGGTGGTCCTGCTCTGGCAGGGAGATTGGACTAGATGATCTTTCAAGGTCCCTTCCAACCCCTAACATTCTGTGATTCTGTGATTTAAGGAAGAGTTATCCTGTGGGTCTGTAAAGTCCAGGCTGGCAAAGGCTTTGCAAAAACTTTAAAAGAACTATGCTAGAACTATATGCTAGAAAGAAAAGAAAAA